TTTTGTGATGTTGGACAGCTTCACTTGTCACTTTTGCTAGGTAAAGCGAAAGATCGTTATTACTTTTAAAAATGCTCGTTATATTCGAAACTTCGTAGACGCCGGTACTACTAGTAGTAACGCTTTCCAATAATATCCAGACTAGTAATACTAGTTCAAGTAGTAATTGCCAGAATAGTATAATGATCAGAAGAGAATCGTAATGCGTATAGTAGTAGAGTAGAGAGAGTGAACAGCAATAGTGGATAGACAAGAAGAGTGAACAGTGATCGTATAGTAAGTAGCATAGTATAGAAGAGCAATAGTGATCTCTTAGTGATCACACTACTTCCTATTTATTCACTTCCTTTATGGTCACGTGATCTAATTAATAATGGAATCGCCCGTGTTACTCGCTGGCAATCTAGTTTCAAACCACAGGGTTGCAACGACACTTACTCTCATACAACAGTCTGAATAAACACCAATTTGAAAATATGTAGTGAAAAATTATAAAGAGCATGCATTTATAATAAATACTGTCTTCATATGCATTATTTAAATTATATATAGCTGCTTAAATTATTTCTCGACAGATATATATATATATATATATATATATATATATATAAATAACTAGACTCGTTTCGAAAAACCCTCGAATTTTTGATTTATTAATCAAATCAATTTCGAGGGAAAAAAAGGTTTTTAAAAAAGAAAGAGCTACAAACATGAACTTCTGCCGACAAAAAAATCGCACAGATGCAGGTCTGAAGCCCAAAGAAAAAAACCCCGATACGAGTAACAACTAACTAACAAAAGAGCTCAATACAATCGTAGAGCAGACCTAGATACATATATCCTCTATATATATATATATATATATATATATATATATATATATATATATATATATATGAGGATATTACAACAAAAAATCTAAGAATCGTTAGAAAATTGCAGTCGTGTTTCAACGCATAAGTATGCGTATACTCAGGTAATTATAACTTACAATTTACAATCGCCTGAGGGCACGCGTTGTTAAGCGTTGAAACACGACTGCAATTGTGTAGCGATTCTTACAACTTCTTCTTCTTCTTCTTCTTCTTCTTCTTCTTCTTCTTCTTCTTATTTTTATTCTTCATCGTCTCCCACTTCTTCCTCTCCTCATCTTTCGTGTTCTTATTTTTCTCCTCCTCTCTTTTCTTTTACTTCTTTTCCTTCTTGTTCCTCTTGCTTGTTGTTGTTTTTACCGTTCTTCTTTTTCTTCTTCACCCATTCTTCTTCTTCTTCTTCTTCTTCTTCTTCTTCTGAACCTTCTTCTTCTTCTTCTTCTTCTGAACCTTCTTCTTCTTCTTCTTCTTCTTCTGAACCTTCTTCTTCTGAACCTTCTTCTTCTGAACCTTCTTCTTCTTCTTCTTCTGAACCTTCTTCTTCTGAACCTTCTTCTTCTTCTTCTTCTGAACCTTCTTCTTCTTCTGAACCTTCTTCTTCTTCTTCTTCTTCTTCTAAGTCTTCTTCTTCTTGTTGTTTTACAGCTTCAACATTTAGTTTATCATTTTCGATACCAATATTCCTTCTGGTAAAATTTTACCTCAAATATTTCCTAACAAAGAGTTTATTTCTGAAAACATTTTCCTTAAGACATCGATCGCCGTAAAAAAAAAAATAACATTAAAAACAGTGAAGGAAAAAAGTATACGAGCCTTTCTTGAAAAGATGCCACGAACGATTTTTTGTTTTTTATCTCGACAAATAATGACAAAATTCTTGCATGCAGTCTCAAATTTCACAGCCTTCATTCTCTGCACCTTATCTGACCTATTCGACTGCTGTGTTAGAATCGACTTTTGAGTATACAAGAAAGTCATAAATCTTTATCTTTAAGATAAATTCTCGAACAATTACCGATTGTTATTTTTTATTTAATGAATATTCGCACGATGGCTGTCGCAACCAACCAAATGATAACAAAATTATATATCATCGTTTCTCATACGCTTTCGAGCTAACTCCTCTCCTATCTTAAGTTACAGACACAGGAATTCCTACACTATTTACATTATTTGGACTATTGTCCTCATCTTTGTCGCCGTATTTATTACAACGTTTCGACCGGTTGGAATGTCGAACTGAACCCTTTATTTCGCTCACTGGGGTAGACTGTTCTAGTTCCATGTGCCATGTTTAATGGATTTCAGTTATCAGTTATCTCCTGTTAATTCCTCTCTCTCCAAGTTCTTCACCGCCTTAACCAGGTATTGAACTCACACTATTTTGGGTCCTGTCACTGGATCTAACCAACGCCTTTACCCACTGTGCGATGTGTCCTTGAGAACATCTGTGTATGAATTTCTGGGTATTATAGACAGATACAGGAATTCCTTCAGACATGACCTAAGAGCCACTCAGAGAGTTACTGTGTTATTTTGTATGAACGTAAGAAAAGGTCAGAAGTTCAATTCATGAGGCTCTGCAAGAAAGATAAAAGGGTAACACTAGACTTGAAGAGACCAAGAATGTAGTCACCAGAAAAAGATCCTACTGGGAATCTGTCCCACAAAGCAGAAATCTTTGAAAAGAATCTGTCCGAGTGTAACTTACATCTTATTAATTGATTGATTGAATCGTTTTTACAGCTTAACAACCCTTTGCATGTTATTTAAAGTCAGAAAATATATTTAGATTGAAGAATGATTTAGTGATATATGTCTTCCTGATTGACACTAATTAAACATTTGAAATAATAATCATTTAATTATGCATGTCTCATTAATTAACTGTGCACAGAAGAGATGTATTCGTACCTCCCCTAAGGTCATTTACGCGTAAGTGAATATAAATAACGAACCCAACTGGAACTGGAACTCGGCTCTCCGATTAACAATTCCGAGCCATTATCCATTGCACCACCCATACATCCAAGCTTACAGCACCTGGTATTCCATCTAGGATCGACCAGGATCGACGTTGCTTAACTTCGGTGATCGTACGGAAACTGGTGTTTAAACGTGATACGGCCGTACAAGTCTTTGAAAACTGCTCATTGTTTTGCTCATAATTCGCAATTTTAGTGGTATAATTATAGTGATATAAAAATATAAATGTTATTATTGGATAATTCTCCGTATTGCATAACATTATTATTATTACTTTAATTATTAATTATTTTTTATAAACATGAGTTTAACGAGATAGCTATTAATTGTGTAATTATGTGTTTGTATGTAGCCCGCAATTCGCAATTTTAGTGATATAATTATAGTGATATAAAAATATAAATATTAGATAACATGTAAAACATAAAGGTATAACCCTAAAAGGGACGGTGGAGTAATAAATAGCGGTTCGAATTGAGGAATCGGAGAGTCGAGTTCGAATTCTATTCGAATCCATTACATTCACTTACGTGCTAATACCCCTGGGTAAAGTATGAATCCTATTCTTCTCCCCCCACCTAGCTATGGGTAAATAGATCGTGTTCTTGGATCACCTAATCGTGTATCATGCATGGCACATAGCTGACTGATTCCCCCTCCGAAAAGTTGTGTTTTTCTTAATTATCTCTTAATGGGTGAAAGGCAGTCGTCCCGGGGGCAGTTCTCCTGATACCGTCGTTTTCATAATAAATGTTTCAAGTTTCTTAATTTTCTAGTTTAGAAAAGGTTTTGATTATCTAATCTCTACCTATAAAAGGTTAGCGTGAAGGCCAAGCTGACATTGCATTTCCCAACTCCCATCGATAGTGGATATAATCGTTTTTTCATGCTTCTACGGCAGTTTTCATGTAGTTTGCGGCCATTTTGTACTGGCCAGAGTGAGAGCCAATAGCTGGCTGACACGAATAGGCAGGAAGATTCTATTGGCCATCGCGAGAGCCAACAGCTGACTGACACGAATGTTAACTAGCATGCTAGCATGCAAAAAAAATCGATAGCTGCATTCGTCACAAGTGGGAAAATTTAAATCTGCATGGCACTTGACTCCAATTGACTCATTCGCTTGCTTAAACTCAACGTTGATTCTGATTCCGCAGAACTGGGTTGGGTGTGAAAAAATATTTGTTGTTAACATTCTTTTTTTCATTCGGTTTTTCCAGTTACGACTCCTTTTTTTAAAGCTGATCGTTTTGTGTTTCATTTTGTTTAGTTCTTTTTTTCGTAACAGATTTAATGTTTAGTATAGAGCTTAGAAAAAATTCGCAGTGTTAGATAGGCAAAGTAAGGCATGTAGCAACATCAGCACGGCAAAGGGCACTCCTTTAAAAGGCTAGGAAGGGCAAAAAATATTTTAAGTCAAGTGATAGCGATTGCTGTATGAGTCCTACGATTTTTGAATCAAGCACGGACAACGCCGGGCCATGCTGCTAGTTCTAGATATTTATGGAACTCATATTATACACGGTCCACTGCTAAAGATTCTGGAAAAATGGTTGGATCGTATTTCTGTTCCAAAAAGTAACGGACACTTTCCGCAATGCTTTATCTTTACAAGAGTCTTAGAGAAAGCAGAATATTACTGCCACACATGAGTTCCAGCTGCTCAATACAAACTTTCCAGCCTTGACACAATTCCAAAACTCTAACGATGTTGTGTGAGTGATGACATTTTTTTCAACTCTGCAGTGTCTTTCACACAGGTGCAACGTCGCAAGCTTATTTCTATTCTATCGTTATTTCCATAGAAAATAAGCAGATGAGTTCTATTCACTACGGTTGCTTGGTTGCTTTTGTGTAGCGGTATATCACACTGCATGTGTTATTTAATGCCAAAATCTAAATGCAATTTCTGTTTTTGGGGGGTTTTTTGTTGTCGTTGTTTTTGTTTTTTTTAGATAATACTGGTTTTAGTGATAAAAATCTTACTAATTAACCCATAGCTGGGGAGAGAGTATTTGGATTCAGGGCTTTCCTAAGGTTATTTGCGAGTAAGTGAATGTAACGAAGTCCTCTGGAATTGGAACTTGGCTCTACGATTAATAATTCCGAACTGTTATCTATTACACTATACGCACATTCAAGATTACAGTACCTGGTAATCCCAAGCATTCACCCACACAAGTAATGACCAAACACGACGTTGCTTAACTTCGGCGATCGTATGTGAGCTGGTGCTTCAACTTGTTATGCCCATAAACCCGCCCAGTATATATATATATATATATATATATATATATATATATATATATATATTGAGACATGATTCATTGAATAATATAGACAAGTTCTGTTTTACTTATTTTCAACAGGATCCTTTCATATTCACGAACAAGCCTTTTTGGCTTGTGAAACACCCTGATGATGGCATTTTGCTAATGTCGAAAGTACTCGGAATAAAAACAGCATGTGTCAACACGGTAATTTATTTCCTTGCTTTACTAACGACGCCAAAGACCTTGTTCGTGAATATGAAATGATCCTGTTGAAAATAAGTATATAAAACTTGTCTAAATTATTCAATGAAACATGTCTCTATGAAAGCATGCTGCCAAAATATACACAATGTATATATATATATATATATATATATATATATGCAAGTTTCGTTGAAAACGTGTGACAAGGTGTAGTGGTTGAGTGTTTCTATAATTTCTCATGTGTTAGTATAATTTTTTTCTTCTTTTCATGACATAAATTATATAAAAAATTGTTTGAATATTTTCCAAGCACTTTCGGCTATACATTTAGCCATTATCAAGGATGAATTTTATTTTACTTTTAACTGAGTATATGCATTGTTTTATGTATGTATTTAGGAATGTTTTAGTTTTCAAACACAGTCAGTACATTGTGGCCGTGTTCTTAGTATTATTTAGTGTTGGCTTTTTTTATTTTTCTTGATAATATAATCACTCTAGTTCATGTGAATGGAAAACGAAAAAGGCGCAAAATGTTGCTCTCCTGACGTTTAACTAGAATCGACTGACGATTGGCTGAGCCACTAATCCTGAACAGATTCTTAGACTCAGCCAACTTTTTTTTTCTCAAACGTTCTCATGGGCGAAGTCCTGGTTATTTTTTTGTCGTTGCTTTTTTTTATTTATTTTCTTAAATCATTTACCTCAAGCAAGACGATAATGCCACCATGACGGAGAGAGCTACAGGGAGTGAAAGTGAATGCGAAGTCTTTAGCGAAGAAAAAGATAAATGAACAGGGTTCAGGAAGATTGAAGTTACATTTAATTTATTTTTTTAATTTGTAGGTGGCAAGAATTCGGAAGAGATTTCCACAGGTCGTATGTGAAAGAAGAGAAACTATTAGAAACGACGGTTGTATCTTGCTAGCATCGAGCTAGTTCAACTCTAAAATCTGTTACTGTCAATCTAGTAACACGTTTAAATTCATGTAGTCGAGGCACTAAGGAGACAGTTCATCATAACATTTGCCATAAAAATATCTGTAGACAAGTGAAAGAGAAGCCACGTCACGCCCATGGGAAAGTGACCGAAGTCGAGACGCTAAGTCAAGTTCGATTACATTGCAGAACCCTTCTTTGAATTTTATCGAGAATTTCGAAATATATAGTAGGAGCACCGGACCGAATACGGCACAAACGAATGGGTTCAATGCACAAACGAATGGGTTCCCGTACAATCACCGAAGTTAAGCAACGTCGAGCCTGATCAGTATTCAGATGGGTAGACGCTTGGGAATATTGCGTGCTGCAAGCTTGGATGTGTGGGTTGTGTAATGGATAAAGACACAGAATTGTTAATCGGCGAGCCAAATTCCAGTCGGAGTCATTATATTTACTTCCGCGCAAATTCCCTTAGGAAAGATATGAATCTACCTTTTCTTCCGCCTAGGGATGGGTTAATTAGTAAAACTTGTGTCACTAAACCATAAAATCAAATAGAATTGTGTACAAATTTCGGCATCAGATAACCCATAGAGGTGTTGATATACCGTTAAACAAAATCAACCAACGAAACCAATCAGAATATTTAGATTTCGGCATTAAATAACCCATAGAGGAATTGATATGCCGCTCTACAAAAACAATCAAAATATTTAGATTTCGGCAATAAATGACCCATGTGATAATATGCTAAAATCAACTATACTAAACCACTCAAAATATTTAGATTTTGGCAGTGTTGATGTGACGTTAAAAATATCTACCAATGCAAACTAATCAATATATTTAGATTTAGGTAATAAATAACCCATAGCGGCGTTGATGTGCTGCTAACAAAATCAACCAAACCAAACCAATCAAAATATTTAGATTTCGGCATTAAATAACCCATAGAGGTATTGATATGCCGCTCTACAAAAACAATTAAAAAATATTTAGATTTCGGCTATAAATTACCAATAGATGTGATAATATGCCACTAAACAAAAACAACTAAACTAAACCACTCACAATATTTAGATTTTGGCAGTAAATAACTCATAGCAGTGTTGATATGTCGCTAAAAATATCTACCAAAACAAACCAATTAAAATATTTAGATTTCGGCAGTAAATAACCCATAGCGGTGTTGATGTGCCGCTAAACAAAATCAACCAACCAAACAAATCAAAATATTTAGATTTTGGCATTAAATAACCCATAGAGGTTGATATGTCGCTAAACAAAAACAACCAACCAACGGACTAATGGTAGATTTGTAAATGTACAATCGGGATCTTGATGAGAAGAATTGTATGGCACGACAGAGTTAACCAGCTTTATTAGCAGTAGGCCTTGTTATTTATTCAATATAATCACTCCACTTTGTGTGAGTGGAAAACGAAAAAGGTGCAAAGTGTTTCACTCCTGGAGTTTGATGTCAGCCATGATTTTTTTCAATCGTTTGCTTCTTTCTTTCTTTTTATTTCCAAAATAGTTGAAGTTGATGTGTCTATATGTTTCTGAACCCAATCCAAATCTCTTTTATGCTATAGTATTTTTTCAACGTTCTGGGTGATTTTATACATAGTGTTATTTAGATGGTTCATTTTTTTATTTTATTTCTTTTTCTTTTGCAAGACTTACAGTCATTCCTGTCTTTTTGCAAAGTTCTTTGGAAATATTCTAAGCACGCCAATAACAATGGTTACAAATGACCACTTTAAGTTACACTATTTGAAGAAAAAATTATTCTTTTCGTTTACGATGACCAGATTTTCCTACCTAGACGAGGTAATCCGTGCGCGTCTGTTTATACTCGACGACTATTCCTGCTTCCAGCATTTACCATCAGTTTTCATGACAAAGTCTCAGTCATTTCCATTATTCTAAGTAGATCATCTTTGACAACAGCTCAAATAATTTCCGCCTCTTTTGAGCTGGCTCTGTGAATTCGTATGAGGATTGTTATACAGGGTTTCCATAAAGTCTTTTTGCAATTTAAAATCTCTATCTATAAAAGGCAGGATGTGTGTGTGTGTGTGTGTGTGTGTGTGTGTGTGTGTGTGTGTGTGTGTGTGTGTGTGTGTGTGTAACGAATGCACGGCCGCAATTTTCGACGGATTTGCACCAAAATTTACATGCACATGCTCCAAGTTAGCGAGAAGGCTAACACCGACTTTGCATTTCCCAACTCCCATCGATAGTGAAAATAATCGATTTGTCATGCTTCTACGGCAGTTTTTATGTAGTTTGCGGCCATTTTGTACTGGCCAGAGTGAGAGCCTATTGCTGGCTGCCACGAATAGGCAGGAAGATTCTATTGGCCAGAGTGAGAGCCAACAGCTGACTGACACAAATGTTAACTAGCATGCTAGCATGCAAAAAAATAATCGTCATGGGAAAAATTTAAATCTGCATGGCACTCGTCTCCAATTGGCTCATTCGGAAAACGTTGATTCTGATTCCGCAGAACTGTGTTGGGTATTTGAAAAACATTCTTTTTCATTCGGTTTTTCCAGTTACGAGTCTTTTTTTTTAAAGCTGATTGTTTTGTGTTCATTTTGTTTAGTTCTTTTTTTCGTAACAGTTTAATGTTTAGTATAGAACTTAGAAAACATTCGCAGTGTGAGATAGGCAAGAAGTAAGGCATGTAGCAACATCAGCACGGCAAAGGGTACTCCTTTAAAGGCAAGGAAGGGCAAAAATATTTTAAGTCAAGTGATAGCAAGTGCTGTATGAGTCGTACGATTTTTGAATCAAGAACGGTCAACGCCGGGCCATGCTGCTAATACTATATATTACAAAGGCAATTAAAAAGGTACCTTAATCAGATTTGTTCTATGCACTCAGTAGCTGTCAAAGTTTTTAATCATATTGCATTTTTGTAGTTCGGGTATCCGGTTGATGAAAGAGGTACTGTTAAATAAACCCTAACATTTCCAGAACGGTGGATGACCCAATTCCCTGGTCACCTTGTTCACCAGTGTTATAGGGGAACACACCTATTCTATAGTTAATAGGCTCTCCCACCTATAAGTAGGAGTAGTAGCAGTCGCCAGTCGCTCAGTGAGTTGGTCTGAGTTCAGTCTGAACTCGGACGACCAGCTGACCGGTTGAACTCTCTGCCTTCGGGCTGGGAGGAACCCGAACGAAGCTACGCCGAAGGGCGGATTCTCTTTCGGGGAGGTAAACCGACCCTGAACCCGTTTATACGGGTTCAATTGGCATATTTTTGGCCGAGGAGACGGGCTCGGAGATCCCACGTTAAACCGGCTTTGTGCCACATGATGCCCTCGTGGGGGGTGACTAAATATCCTCAGTGATTTGGTCGAGTCAGTCGATGTCGGACGACCGTTAGTCGGATATTAAAATATCAGCCACCACAACTAGATTTCTCTGCGTCATTACCTATTATATCAAGTTCCTAACGTTTTGTACGTCGAACCTATTTTAGGATCGACTTAGTGAAATACAAGCCTCCACTGTGAAACTACTCTACAAAAACCAGATAGCACTCCCCTAGACTTTTTTCTTTGGGATTATGTTAAAGATATCGAACAAAGATACGGGACATCACTAATCTAAAGCAAAAAATCACTGATGCCATTGCCACTCTCTATGAGACGGTGAACATGATAAGAAATCCTGTACTGTTTTAATGTTTCGTTCAACTAATGGTACCCATATAGAAGTGTATTAAATTAGTTAACAAAAAACTTCAATATATACTCCACATTTTTTAACAATTTCCGCATATTTGTCTGTTTATTTGCTTTAGTAATATTTTTTTATCTTGTAAAAAGACTTTATGGACACTCTGTACTGAACACGGAAAAAATGTCGTAGTCATGGTAGAGATGATCTGAAAACTGTTATTTGCTTTTATTATTTTCGACTTGTTATTTTGCTATTTTTATGCGACGTTTGATTGAAACACAAAAATTGAATACCATAAAAAACATCTCACCAGCAAACTACATGAAGAAAGAAACAGAAAATTGAGTCATAAATTTAACTTCAACCACATTTAATCAGTTTTTTGCGGGTCTTTTTTTTTCGAAGAAAACGTCAATAATTTCGCTAATGTAATTTTAAAGTGAATAGTCAAATTAAAGCAGGTATTGCTAGCAAATATTTACAAAGTTTAAACATTTAAGATGATGTTAACACATGCCTGACCAGATTGGAAATGGAAAATTACTCAGGAAGAGTGACCTAAATTCAGAAAGACCGATATCTCTGCCTTAATTTGTGTTCTTCTATATAAATAAATGCGAATGTCAGTGTATCACTGTGTCACACTTTTTCAACTTTACCCCTAGAGGCTGTAACCCAAAATATACCATTTTGGAATCAGGACGACTTCGTGAGTAAATGAAAAATATTCCGGATCTCATCCCGACTCGAAATGCTGAAATTTTGGATTCACAAGTTTTCAGAACTGCGATTGTTTTCGGTCTTGATTTTACGTGATTTTTTGAAGAATTCTTTTTTATAATAACAATTATATAACTTGGAAATAAATTTTGGAATAATTGAATTTAATTGCGAAATCCAGCAAAAGTCACCCATGAAATAAAGTAATTGTTTGTACGTAAAGTAATGACTTACAAAAATCAATCTGTCTTTAAATTAAATGCCGAAAGAATTATCGTTGAACTTTTAAAAGGTAAGCTTAAATATTAATGCAATACTTAAATGCATAGATCAATTTTGAGTTCTTTTGTAGTTTATTGTTGCCTACGCTTACGTTAGCACTATGCCTCGTAACATATGTAATGTCCTCATCCTTGTCTTTTTTTATGACAGTTTCGGCCGTTGTACACTCCAGACTTCCTCGGGTATATATCGTTTTGTGTAATCTACTTGTTTAATCATTTATAGTCTGAACATAAACAACCTCATCATTGTCAACCTTGCTTTTCTTTATTGATTTATCTATTATTCATATACAGGGTGTATCAAAAATACGTTTAAAGATATTTAGAGCGGGTTCCTCACTCCAAAGCAAGGACAAAAGTCCATATAAACATATAGCCACAGATCCTTCATTTCTGAGTTTTATAAATTTAAAGAAGGTTTACGGTAGCTGGTGATATGTTGCCATGTAGACTAGGTTAGATTTGTCATTCGTGCACATTTTTGGCTAGTCTGTCTTCAACATTTAACGTTTGTAGTAGTGAGTTAACTGAGAAGTGTTCTGACAGGATATTTATAAAGTGAGCAAGCAGATATGATTTTTACATACAGCCTTGCGAATGCTAATGGAGTCGAAGCTGCAGAGCTGTATCATTGCGTTTCCAGACCGAAGACAGCCGAGTCATCCAAC